TCTCAGCCCCGTCTCCCCAACCTCTTCCTCTGGCCCTGCTATTCCCCTCCCAAATCTACTGTATTTCTCTTAATGTTTGCTTGCAGCTTTCTCCTTTCTCTTTATTTTTTGTAGCTAAAAAGAATTATTTTACATCAATAGCATTTTTTGTTTCTCTAAAAATGGGTAATTACAACCAGTAACATGTTGAGAGTTGGATAATGCAAGCACAAATTCATGTAAAATGTAAGGGCAAGATTTTATATGTCCTGTCCATTTTTTTAATCCTCACTCAAGGATATATTTAGTAATTTTGGAGAAAGAGGAAGAGAGAGAGAGAGAAACATCGATGTAAAACAGAAACATTGATCAGTTTCCTCCTGTATATGCCCTGATTGGGGATTGAAACCACAACCTAATTATGTGCCCTGACTGGGAACTGAACCTGCAACCTTGGTGTACAGGATGATGGTCCAACCAACTGAGCTATCTGGCTGGGGCTCTCCTGTTCATGTAATGGTTGACATGCTCTTTAAGGGCAGGCATCTTTTGGTGATCATGTCACTGTAATTTTACCACAAGGAAAAGATTGATGTTATTCCTCCTTAATGAAATATCTGTGCAGATGGCTCAGAAGTGTGAAGAGTCTTTGTGCTTCTGAGTTAGAAGGGACCTTATGATAAATTTCAATAGCACTGCTTATCAATAGGAAAGCTAACGTCCAAAGGCTAAACATTAGTATGTGATTGAGTGGAAGTCCCAGCTGAGATTTAAATCTGGATCATCTGCCAGTACATTTGCTAATGTTACTTCATATCCCATATTTATTAATGATATTTATGTTTCTAAAGTGACTGTGATAAAAACCAAAGAACATATTTTGTTCAATTAGTAATATAGAAGGAAAAAGTAGTGCTGAATTATATGGGTCTTCTATTAAGCTGCTTCAAATAGGATTTTGCAAAGACCTGCAAAAATCACAAGAGATGGGTGGAGATTTAAAACCCTTGGCATGGGGAGAGGGTACATCAGTGGGGCTCGCAGCTTTAAGAATAATTCAATTAAGCAGAATGCATTTTCTTTCACTAGGCAAATTGGAGGATGTTAATGCTTTGAGTGGTCCTAAATCACAATTAGGGTCCCCCACAATTGTCATAGTATGGAATACTTATTAGAGCGGAGCTCTTTAGTATATTTTACTCCTGGTTAGAGCATCCCCTAAAAGTTTCTCTTTTCTGAGAGTGTGAATATGCTTTGGACGCTGCTTCACCTTCAAGCCTCAACACAAGGATGCTCTGTGGACCATCCACAGCGCATCACCTGGGAACTTTGTAGGAATGCAGAGTGTCTGGCCCCACCCTGACTTGCTCAGTCTATAGTTTAATAAGATTCCCAGGTGACTCATATACACAGTAAAGTATGGAAAACATTGGTCTAGAGCAGTGGTCACAGATTTTGGTCTCTGAACCAGCAGCATCAGCATCACCTGCAAAATTGCTAGAAGATGCAAATTCTCAGGCCAAACTGCCCATACCCACGAATCAGAAACTCTGGGCCAGCCCCCTGCGTGTGTTGTAACAGGCCCTGTAGGTGATGCCCTCTTATGCCAAGACTTTGAGAACCACTCCAGAGCAGTGGGTTTCCAACAGTTTTGATCATTACTCATGGGGAGAAATACATTTTATGTCATGACCTAATGTACACACAAACACACAAACTTAGTTTTAGAAAACAGTGCTTATCTTGCTATGTGCTATTTATTCCGGTCTTTTCAGTTTTATTGTTATGTGTGCGTGTGTATAAACTTTGTGTAAAAATCGGGTCATGACCCGCACAGCTGATCACCCAAGAGACTAACAGGCCCTGACCTGCAGCATGAGGCCCAATGCTCCTGAATAGTCTCTTAATCTTCTGTTGTGCGTCGCCCCTTCCGGTAGCCTGGTAACGCTCCAGGCCTCTCATCAGAATAATGCTTTTTAAGTGCATACAATAATGTACACGGAGCTACAAGAGAAACAAACTATGTTGGCTACCAGCATATATCACAAATTTGTGATGTGGTAATATATTATGTTTTTTTATCCAATAATAAGGTTTATTGGTGGGTCTGGTAACTACTGTCATTTCAAAGTAGGTATGAGTGCAAATGATAGTTCAAAATACCCGCAGTCACTGTTATGTGATGTGAAGGTGGTTATGATTTCTGCTGGTGACGACGTTAGAGTTACTCATGATGAAACGGTGGTTTGTTGCATACATTTATATTTGAAAAAAATACTGAGTTTTAGCTTAAGGTGAGTGAAAGTAAAGATGAATTGTTTTTCCCTGTCTAACTTAAGAATTCCAGAGTTCTACTGACAGATCCCCATGGAACTGAGGTTAAAAACCTTGGCTCAAGGGAAACCTTCCTTCAGAGAATCCTTCTCAGGCCTTAGGTTGAGACTATACACCAGAAAATTATCTTCCTGAAACTTCTTAAACTGGTGCTTTGTTAATTGCACCTTTTCCCGCCCCCAGCACCATAGTAATGGATTTTTCTTTGGATTTTTTTTCTCTTTTACTGAGCCATTGGGAAACCACCTGGAAGTCCAAATTCATGCTATTCCTAATTTTCCTTCTCTCTCCCCCTTCTTAATCCATGTTCCCAGCTGCTCAGCCAGGTTCCTGGGAGTCATTCTCTGGGTCGTGGGTTCTGGATTCAAGATATGAATCCGGGACCCACAATTTACCGGCTGTGTAACCTTGGATACTTTGTTTACTCACTCTGTGTCTCCTGTTCTCCACCGGCGAGACTGGGACGTTAGCAGTGCCTACCCAAGAGGGATCTCTAAATGAGAGAGCCGGTGCATCTCATGGGAACAGTGCCTGGCCTGGAGCAGGTAGTTAGTAGTTACTATTTCTTATATTGTCCTTCATTTCTTCCTTCCCTTCATTCCTTAAATCCCCTTTATCAGAACATTAATGTAGATCCTCCCTACAAAATGTATTTCAGATTCATCCACTTCTGTTTCCATGGCCATTATCCTGCTCTGAGCTTCCGTACTCTCTCATGTGGACTCCTAACTGATGTCCCTGCTTCCTCTTGATTCTCTCCAGTCCTCTCCCCCATAACAATCTTGTAATCTTTTAAAGTACAAATGATCTTTTAAAAATGTTAAGGAACCACTGTCTGTTTAAAACCCTTTTAGTCTTCACATCAGACTTTTCCTTGACTTGTAGACCCTTGTGTGTTTGGCCCCTGCCTCCCCTCCAGGGTCACATCCTGCTGTGCTGTGCTCTGGTCAGCCTCACACGTGCCTGTTTGCCCGCTGTTCTGTGGCCTCATCAGCCGCCTCTCAGTTACTAGAGGAGCCTAGTTCTTTCATACTTTGAGGCCTTTGCATATGACCCCCTCTTCTGCTTAGATGGATGTTTCTGTCCTTCCCCAGCCTCTCATCCTTCTCGGCTCTGCAGGTAAAAGTTCCTCAGAGAGCCTTCCCGACCCTACTTAAATTAGGGCACCGAGTACCTCTTTTACCAGCCTGAAGCTCCCTAAACACATCAAAAAATTAACATGCTTCTCTATGGGGAGAAGGATAATTAAGGACCTGTGATTGTCAAGCATGTAACTCCAGGAGGAATGTGCTCCTTTTCCAGAAAGAGAAATTTTACACATTAGGGATATGAAGTGATTGTAGAGCTATTTCAAGAAATTGCTGATCTCAAAATTGTACAAGGTAGGTCTGAAATCCGTGTACAAGAGCAAAGAGAGGCCTGCCCACAGAGTCTGTCTGCGGTAGGGTGACGGAGTTCATCATAACCTTCTCGGTTCAGGAGTTTGTCATAACATAATCACGGGCCTCCTAACTGCTGCCAGTCATTTCTGTTCCAAAGGGTAGAAAAGGTGTCGGAAAGTTCCCTCTTTGAGGTGGCTGTCTGGTTGCTGATGAAACTCCTCACATTCCTCTCTCCTAAAGTGAATGGTCATTTGCTGCTCAGACACGGGAAAGATGTCTCATTAAATTAGAGGGTGGGGACCAGTGTGGGTAATGTCTGGGTCCGAATGACTCCTTGATGGGACGAGGTCAGCTTTGTGTTTTGGGATTTCTCCTTCATTACTTACTTTTAATTAATCCTAGCGGAGAAGAGAGGCGCTCCTGATTTTTGTCAGTTGCCTAAAGCAACGAAGAGGAAGGTGGTAGGAATTCAGAATCACAATGTGAACTATTTTCACAGTTGCCTTTGTGGTTTTTCTTTCAAATAAGGGACTTCTAAGAATTCCAGAGAGCACTGGGACAGGTGCTCAAATTTAGGACAATTAGAGTAAATGGGATGCCTGGCTCTTCTGTGCCTTGTTTCGCTGAATGGGGTTCCTGGCTGAATAAAAATGCGATCACTTTCTCGGAAAGATTCTTTGGTTGGCACACTTTAGCAGACCCCTACACATGGCAGAAATATTCCTTCTGTGGGCTGTGGGTAATGGTAATTATTTGGAAAATGATGTGTCTAAAATTAAATATAATTTTCTCATTGTAAAAAGGTTATTATGTAAACCTAATTTTAAAAATTTCTACCATAATTCTGCTTACCAATCCATCCAAACTCTTCATATTTTCCTTATCCCCCTACACACATGTTCATGTGTTTATCTGTTCAAAGACAGGGTCCAACAGAAGTAACGCCTACTTGAGTGTGATTGTAGGGTAGTAATATGGGTGTAATGATTTATAGTTTTAATTTGAACATTTCGCCTAAAATGTCATATGGTGTGCTTGAGTGTGATATTGTGATGTTACAGACTTGCATGCTTAGGATTTTGTAGTGAAAGATTGTGTAGTAAAAAGGGACCGGACCCTGTGTAGTTGTGATCTCGCAGTCATCATCTTGTCTCTGACTTCTGTCAGGATACGTTTCTCTCGTTTCTTTTTTTTTGTGGTTGTATAGCACTCTATCAAGTCATAATTTCTTAGCCAACAACTTCTTGGTTGGTTTGCTGTGTGATGTGTTTTTAACCATACCTTTGTTTTGTTCTGATTTTGCAGGCAGAGACATTTGTTTGGGGTAACAATGCATCAGCACATTCCCAGAGTGTTGCCAAGGCCAAATATGAATTTTTATTTGGCAGATCTGAAGAGAAAACTCCAGATACTAGTAAGTGTGCCTCTACCCTCCCCCTTCAGGTCACAGATATGAAGCACTACTGCAATTTCAATTCGAGAACTGAGAATTCTTCAAACTACGAAACTACTTGAAATCACCTACAAGAGTCACATCCTATATTTCTGAATTCTACATCTTAGGAAGACTGTTTTTATGTGTAATTAAAGCAGACCTCTTTCACAGAAGTAGAAAGGCAGTAATGCAGGTGGAATGCGGGAGGAAAAGATGATAAAGGGAATATTAGCATGTATGGAGAATTGGGAAATTCCCCCACACATTGTGTGTGGTCAGGAGGAGCCTGGGCTCTGGATCAGGTGCTTCCTAAGTTTGAAATCCCTGACTTTGAAATCTGGCCCTTTACCTTGTCAAGTGTATGACCTCGAGTAAGTTATCTAATCTATTTGTGGCTTAGTTTCCTATCTAGAAAATGAGATTGTAATGATACCTATTTCAGAATTCTTTTGAGGATTAAGTAAATTGACAAATGTAAGGATCTCAGAAGCATGCTCTGCATGCACTAACTGCTGTGAAAGTGTTTGCTGCTGTTATCATGATCATGATCATCATCATCATCATCATCGTTGTGGTTGTGTCCCTGACCTTTGAATTGACGTTTGGAAGAACAGACCTGACTTTCTTCACTATCTGAGACTTGATTTCTGTTTTGGGTAGAAAAGGATTCTGACCTAATGTAGTTGTTGTTCAGTTGAAAAAGTCAAATAATAACTCTACATTTCTGACATGTTAGGTGGGATTATTTAGTGGACCCCATGATATTTGGGTATATTAAGAATGCAGTGAGTATGCAGCCATTTAATAATTCCTTTTACCTTAATGATGAATATTTACTAGCTATTTCAATAGTTGGGGACTGTTGGTAAAGCTTAAAGCAACTAAGTTACTTTTAAAACATCTTTTTGCCTTTATAACAGGTCCTAGTTTGCTGTTTACCATGTGGCATACATACCTAACTCTTCTGGACTCTAGGTTTGGGGCACTTAGTCATCTGTTCACTATTATCAGAGAGGGAATACTGATTCTAGTCACTCCAGTGCTGTTGAAACTCCTTGACATAGCCTTAACTTTGCATACCACATTGTGATTTTGTGCTGATCAAGCATTTTTGGCCTTGATAACACAGGATTTTTACTTTGCTTTGTAAATCAAATGTCTGCATACTCATCTGACTTATTGATGTGTGAGTTTGGTTCATCTTTCCTCATAGGCTTTGAGTTGTTTTCCCTGTGTACCTGAGGCAAATCAAAATGATATTTGAAGCCTGTTCCTTATTTGCCTTGGTAAGAAATGGGTGTTATTATTTGTTGAGTGTGAGGTTATTCTGCAGGTGTGAATGTATGCATGCATTTGTTGAACAAATACATTTAATGGGCACTTACTGTGTGCTGGGCAGTGTGAGGGCGCAAAGAAGTAGAAGATGCAGTTCTTGACGTTCAGCGGCTTATTCCTCAGTCAGAGAGAAATGTGTCGGTAAGTGACTGAAGGAAGGGAATGGTCACTTTCAGCTGTGCTGTGGTGACTTCGTGGAGGAGGGGAAGTCAAACTTGTTTGTAAGAACTAGGATTCTGATTAATAGAGTTTTGGGACAGGGCAGGTTGTTAGCAAAGGTGTGGTAGCAGAAAATATCAGTTGTTTGATGAACAGGGAGGGAACCAGCCTGGTTGGTTTGTAAAGCCTATCAGCGAGAGAAAGGTTTAGAAAGATAACCATTACCAAAGGGGCAGAATCCTGCAGGGCCCTCTAAGGCAGGGGAAAGAATTTGCACTTTATCCAGGCATGCAAAAAGGAAGTGCCAGGTTCTGTTTTAGAGAGATGAATCAAGGTGGATTGATCAGGAAATCGGAATGGGCAACAGATGCTGTTCCTTACCATAGGAAGGTTAAAGGCAACTTTGTATTGACTTTTTGAAAAGTCCTCTTTTCCTATCTTCACAAAGAAATGATGGCATATTTTTATCATTTCAAAAATACCCTTGAAGTTTATTTTTATAGACCATTCATCTGTCATCAAAATACTGCCCAACTCAGAGGACCATAGGCAGAGGTAGTAGAGAGTAGGATCATGTTTCTGCTTGAATTTGATTGACAGACATGCCTGTTCCCATGCACAGCTTTTTAAAAGTGGGTTAAAGAAGTGACTTTAACAGTCTTAGTGTTCCAGAAACAGCCTGCTGGAGACATGGAAATGCTGGCAGTGACTTCTGAATGCATCTCCAGTGATAGGCAGGTGCACCGCCTGAGACCAGTGAGGTCAGTGGGGTCATGAGCCCCAGTTAGGCCCAAGGAAAGTGTCGCTGCTATAGGAAGAGAGGCTTAGACTTGGCCACTGAGTGGGGTTGCAGGCGGGAGGTTTGCAAGCTGTTTTTTTTTTGCAAGCTGTTGCTTATTTCAGAGATCTGAATCAGAGACCAGTGTTTAGGGTATTGGATGGAGTATGGAAGGACATGTGAACAGTGGGAAGAATCCCGAGGCTGGGATCTAAAATATGGATTCTCATTATCTGTTCGTCAACATAGTGAAAGGAAAGAGGGGGCCTTGCTTCTCTGTTTCTCTGCTCTCTGCTCCTCTCTGGGAGCTGTCGCAGCTTTCAGGAGCTGTTCAAGGGCCAGAGCAATAGTTGGTAATTGTCGAGAGGCTCTGGGCTGTGTGCGACATCAGAAGGTGGCGAGTCATTAGTGGTGAAACAGGAAAAGACACCAGAGTTTGGGCTGCCTGTCACTACCAGGCCCAGTAAGCAGAGACAGGGATTGAATCTTTATGGGCACTTTATTCAGATGGCCCGTGACCTGCAAAGATGGCGGGATCAGACCCTAACAGACCATCTTAAATTCCACTTTAAAATGGCCCTTTTTATATGGAGAACAAAGTGTAGGTAAGTGGTTTGGAATTCAGGGAAAAGTTAATTGGATTAAAAAAAACAACTTCAGCATTCTCCCCCTGGATGGTGGTCTTAAGCTGTGCCCCAGGCAGTGGTCATCTCACCGTGGAGGACAAGGGCTCGGACACCATCTTGAACTGCTTGCAGTCCTCCTGAGGCACAAAGGTGGAACTGCTTATGGTCTCCTGGAGTCAGGGTGGGTCATACCTTCAGTTCTTGGAACAAAAGTTTTTACATGCATTGATCACTAAGCTTATTAGCTATTACTTAAACTAAACTTTTCCAACTCTTAAGTCTCCTATCAGTGGTAGGTTCACCTCTTCTACTCCAATATTATGGGAGCTGCAAAGCAAAAAAAAAGGGCCCGTGGGAGCCTCACCTGGGGCTAACCACCAGGCCTGTATCTGTGAGCAGAGGGTGGTGGTGCCTCCTGGACTTGCCAGTCCCACGCATGCCCCTCCTCTCGAGACTGCTGCACTTCTGCTGCCAGCAGGGCTTTCCTGAGCTGTGCAGGTGGAGTCCATTGAATGGGGTGAGTGTGGGGGTGTGGGGGTGACTTCATTGTGGGAAAGGGCATTCTTTGAAGTGTTCCTAAGGCAGTATCAGATGGCCAGGGTCACTGGTCTCTCTCTTTGGTCAAAGACCAGGAGGAAGAAATACGTGAGAGAGCCTCTGAAGAAGACTAAGACTTCCCCAGTTGCAGGGAGGACAAGTGACTGACGGAGGTGTGTGAGGAAGTGGCGAGGCTGGGGGCAGGGGTGGGAGGGTGGGGGATGCTAAGAGGAGGAATCAACTGACTTCTTAGATTAACTCTTAGAAGTTTACAAAGTCCCACTCCTGTGTTTTCTATTGTTTTTTTAAAACTTTTTATTGATTTTTTTTCTTGACAGAGGGAGAGATCGATTTGTTGTTCCCCTTATTCATGGTTTCGTTGGTTGATTCTTATATGTACCCTGACTAGGAATTGAACCTGCAACCTTGCATATCAGTACAGTGCTCTAACTGACTGAGCTAATCAGCCAGAGTTGTCTTAACTTTTCTTTTACAGGGCTTACAGCATTTATGTTCTGTTCTGTAACTATAACAAAATCTTGTGTTTAGTCTCTACAGGTTCACTCAAACCATTTAGAATGTAGCATCAGCATGTATAGGATCCAAGTAGTGTAGTTGGACCTTGAGTGAAGAAATAGATCTTGTGTCCCTAACCTCTTCTGCTCTAGCAACAGTATAGCCAACCTGAGCAGAGAGGAGAAAGAGCAAGGGGAGGAGGTAGCAGATTGTTACAGTTTGTTGTTTCATTTTTAGGTCTTCACTTTATCACTAAGTATAACTGCATTATTTGTAACTGGCCATTCATTTTCATTCTGAGGACATTCTTCTTAGAACCTTCTGACAACTTGTTCTAGATTGTGCCATACGTTTTCTAGGCCTCTGTGCCACTGTTCTCCTTCCTCTTTGACAGAGTTCTTTATTGCATTCCTAATTAGATGTAACGCTCCTTGGATTCCATGCTGCATTCTTAGAATTTTTTTTTCCTGCAGTATATCACTTAGTAATATTTTCAGAGAGGTTCTGGGACGGGTAACATTCTTACAACATTGTATGTCTGAAAGTGACTATTTTGTTTTTATGCTTCGTTGCTTGTTTCTTTGGAATTGAAGTCCAGGTTCAGCTCATTTCCCTTCAGAACTCAGGAGCGTTGTTTTGCTCTCGGGGGGCACCCATTGGCCCTGGACTGCTGCTTGCTCCTTTGCGTCTGCTCTGCTCCTCCCTGGACACTCTGAAGGGTTCTCTTTACCCAGCCCTCTGATGTGTCAGGAGGTGTGACATCTGGAAATGTTCGTTCTATTTTTTTAAAATTATTCCCCCTCTATTTTTAATGGTTTTTACTTCTGAAATTCCTATAGATTGATGTTGGTTCTCCCAGATTATATTAAGTTTATATGTCTCTCAATTTTTTTCTCCTGTTTTAAAATATCACTTTCTGCCCTGGCTGGTGTGGCTCAGTGGATTGAGTTCTGTCCTGAGAACCAAAGGGTCACTGGTTTGATTCTCAGTCAGGGCACATGCCTGGGCTGCAGGTCAGGTCTTCAGTA